GTGTGTGTGGAGACAGAGAGAGAGAGGATGCCAGTATCTGAGTCAGCACAAGCAGGTGGCAAGTGGAGATTTTAAGGAATAATTTGTTATAGAGACAATGATCTCACATATGTGTGCATGTGGTATGTGTTTATGTGTGTGTGTTTATTCACATTCATTGTTTATTCATTTAATTTTTTACAATGAAAAATGTGTTGCAGACTAAAGCTCTCTTTTTACCATGCTCATTTTGTTTTTATTTATCTCTCCCCAGTTTCCTCTTAGATAACTTTGTTAATTAAAACATCATCCATTTCTCAAGAGTCCTCCGTCACCTTGTTTCTTTCTTTTAAATACATTTATTTTAGAAATACATAATTATTTTCTGTTGCAACAGACGGAAAACTGCTTCAGACATTTTGCAATGTCCTCTATAAAAATATCTATTTACCACGTCGCCTCATACCTGCAGTTCCACCCAAGAATAAGGCAGCATGGCTGTGAACTCCAACATAGTCTAACTTACAACATTAGCCAGAAGCAGTCTCATAGTCTTCCTGCATTTAAGTATTTGTATGAAAGCATGAAATATCAACTTATCTATTAAGAAGTATTTTAAACAATACCATTGATTTCTCCTGGATGTTGAATCAATTTTCATACTCTTTTCTCTTTCTGCCCCCCCCCCCCCCCCCCAACAACCACCCGTCTTGCAGCCCTGTGAATGCATTTTCCTGTTTGTGTCTCTTTCTGAGGCCATGTTTGGCATTCAAGACAGAGAGCATTAGAGGCTGTGGATCAGAGAGACTGGCACAGCACCACATGATTACTCTTGTCCCTGATGGAGCGTATTTGCATTACAGAGAGGAAAAAGGCACTTTTGAGTTTTCTCTTCTGATTTTTGAAGACAAAAGAAAGCAGAATGTTTTCACATCCACATACCACAAATTCTCATTATTCATGGTTTCACTGCATGGCCTGTGTAGGCAGTATTTGGACCTCAGTGGATCAATAATGTCCATTAAAGTTAATTTATCCTGCCAGAGTGTGATGCTCTATATATGTTTACAAATGAAGGGAAGAATAAGTGGAGACATCTTTGCAGGGAGAGAAGTCAACAAAAACTCACCCTTTCTCTTTCCTTCCCTTTCTGTCTCCAGTTACAGACCATGAACTATGTGGGTCAGTTGGCGGGCCAGGTGTTTGTGCAGGTCAAGGAGCTGTACAGGGGACTCAACCCTGCAACACTGTCTGGATGTATAGATGTCATCGTGGTGCAGCAGCCTGATGGCTCCCTGCAGTGCTCCCCCTTCCACGTCCGCTTCGGGAAGATGGGCGTGCTGCGGTCCCGTGAGAAAGTGGTGAGATTATTGGGCGCTTTTTCATCTGTATGCACCGTATGTCATTTTGTGAACAATTTGAGAGCTTAGAGGCTGTCACACTTATATTCTAACAATAGTTTGCAGTTTAAAGGTGACATTTCACACACAAAAACACTTACAAGAAGAAGCTTACAGTAGTTGCTATTGGTTGGGTGAGATGGATGGAACTAAAAGTTACTGTCGACACAAAACCTAATATCAAGGTTGTTTTATTAATGCTAATGAGGTTTAAAACATGACTCTTTTTTGTGTTGTATAGGTGGACATAGAGATTAATGGAGAGCCAGTGAGTTTGCACATGAAGCTGGGAGAGAATGGAGAGGCCTTCTTTGTCAAAGAGACTGAGAACACACTGGTGAGTAATGATCAACAGAGTCGTTAACCTGAGTCGGTAAACACACACAAATATAGGACAGAACATAACTTACTGACACAAAGGTCAAATTGTTCAGTCAGAACTAAAATAGAGGCAGAGCTTGAATTGGACTGGCCTTTTGCATTGTGATAGTTCTGACCGATTCCACCACCACTTACTGATGGATCTGCAAACATGTCGTTATTTTAATCATCAGGCAGTCTAGTCTCCTCATCCCGGAGGGGATATGAAGTAGTCAAGTTTGAACGCTTGTCAAAGACACGCCACACAGCTGTTTATACTGCTTTGAGGCTGGATTTTACAACCCTGGAAAGTTAAGTCATGGCAGTACTAATATTTTACTCCATCAAGATGCCAGAAGGCAGTGTATTCTGCGTGTACTTAACTGCACGATGCACTGCGTTGCCAGGTGACATTACAGTAAAATACAGTGCTAGAACCAACTGTTTCTCTGCACAACCAGATTTTTTTTTCCAGTCAAAGGCAGTTGTTAGTTTAAAGATACCCCTTGTAAAACTGCCAAATAGGCCTTATTTATTATACAGACTCTATTCTACCTCAAAACAGAAAGAAACACAAAAATATGATAATGTAAACATGGCTACTTACAGAATGATGGATGACCTTACCAGCCACAATCTATTTTTTTGGCCTTTTCATGGCTTTTTATTGGAACAGGACAGCTGTAGAGAGACAGGGAGTGGGTAGGGAGGGGGGATAACAACGCAGCAAACAGGCAAGAGGGTAGATTTCGAACCCAGGCCGGCGCTGCAGGCAACTCCTGTATAATGGGTCACCAGCTCTACTGACTGAGCTATCCATCTATTTCAAGTGGAAAACAATCTGCTGGTCTGAGATTCTGTTTGTACAAAAGCAGATACAGTCTGTAGCATATTAGCTGAAATATAAGCTGAACAACAAGAAGGAACAAGAGCTTCTGTCCCCTTGTGGCATTCTGTTGGCCAGCATGACCTGAAGTTTCCTGGAAATAAACCATCAGGACTGACAGCATTCATAAACAGATACTGATCAGTCAGCTGGTTCACGCAAATGCACCCCACACGCAACACCACACCACCACACACAACACACACACACACACACAGACACATCAGAGGTGGATGGTTTGTAACAATTTAATGCATGATTGGGAAAAAATAAATCTTATTTTCTTTGTTGACAGTTGAGCTACATCTTATATGCTCTCGTTCTATGCGTTGCCAATAGTAATTCAGTAGCCACAGATGCTTAGTTATTTTTTCATATCCTGTTTTATTCATGTGCATGTGACATTACGCTGCTCGTATCAGCACCAAGGTTCAGGGCTCAGTCCTAAATAGGGATTCACAAAGTACAAATGTATGCCCTTATGGCACCGTGAGGCACTTTGAATAATACATCCTCCACGTGAGTTACTGTATGTGCTAGATGTGCACCCAGAAAACTGCAGATCAGAAATGACAGAAGGAGCATATTAATATGTATTACAAAGTTGTAGTGTAAACACAACGGCATATTGAAGTCAAGTAATAAAGTGCAGTGTCAAGCTGGTATCACTCATCCCAGGGCTTCATTTTGAAGATACATGTAGTCATTGGAATAACAAAACAACTCTTGAATTAAAATGACTTTATTGTAATGGTATGGTCATGTTCAACCTTCAAAACTCTGCAGCATTTTGGATGAGGGGAAGCACTCTTGGCAGTGTTTCCCAGTCAGGAATTAAAAGCAATATGTCATAAATCTCTGAAGCTCTAATTCCTGATCTGAAGGATTACTTTGGTTTAATTCTCCTCTCATTACTTACTGTCTCAGTTAAAGATTGGGAGCCTTTCTCCAACTTAGTCAGTCCATCAGTAGGTGCCGTAGGTGCTCTTCAGAGTGGGTCCTACAAGAATATTGTAATGCCTCAGCCCTTAATGGATAGGAAAATAAATAATACCTTAGAAGCTTTTTCGAATTCGAACACTGAGAATTACTTGCAATATTTCTTTGACCATGTCTAACATAGTGTTTGGGACTTTTTGTCAAATCCTCTCCTTGACATAACTCTCCCTCCGCAGAGTGGAAAACCACCAGAGGGCTATTTATAGCTCTGTCAAATTCACCTTCATGTGCAGTTGGGTGCGCACAGACTGCACTCAGAAACTGTCTGTCACTGATCCGTGCAGTGTCCAAACTGATGAGGAGACAGATAGTGAAAGAGGAGCAGGACTAACAAGACACACAGGAGCACAGATAGGCAGACAGCACATACATTGTATACTGTACAGTAGTAAAGAGAAGTATGCAGTAAGTCCAGACAGATAAACACACACAGGACACGCATCGTCAGATATGGCAGTTTGAGGATTATTTCAGTTTCTAATTATTTGTTTGTAGTGTCTTTGTTCTGTCTTTCAGTAACGGTCTAATTTATTATCTCTCTGATCTGAATGGAAAAAGATCAAAAACATTTTTACGGAACTATTTGGCATCGAGCCCAGTCTGCTATGTCACTCCCAGCCAACCCCCATCTTTACTCTCTCACCCACTGTTCCTCAGGGTGTAACGTTACATTTGAGGATTTGTTGGGGCTTGTGTATATGCAAATAGATCTCACATATGAAACATTAACCAAACGTTGCAGCAGAAATGAATCTTCAGGCTACAACATTGCAAAACACATGTTCATGTTAAAGTGCCTTACAGGTGAAAACATAAAAATTAGGTGTGACTTAATGTGTATCTCATCAATTGTGCTGTATAACCAACTTTAATTTCAGTGTGACTAATCCAAGGGATTCAAAATGGTGTGTGAAATCGAATTACCTCAGTTATTCCATCATATCAGATAGTGTTTGCAGTGTAGGCCTATAAACAAATGCTGTATTGTTGCTCGGCTGCGTGGGTTTGTCTGAAAAGATAATCCACCTGAAAACAAAATTCATATGTCACTTTTCTTTTTTTGGGGCTTATTATTGCCTTTAATTGATAGAGAC